CGGGATTTGAACCCTCTCCGCTGTTGCTCGCAGCTAACTGCAAGACAGACGCTCTGCATGCAAAGACGAATTAAGTGATTGTGGAAACTGGAGAGGGATTACTTTGTTACCAATAGCTTTGAAACCATTATGTAAAGTTTTACTTGATAGGATGGAGTTGGTGATAGATAGAATATTGAGGGACGAGCAAGCTGGGTTTAGAAAAGGTCGTGGACGTAATAATCAGATATCTGTCGTTCGGCATGTGCAACAGGCGAATAAAATGAAGGTCCTACAAAGTTTGTGTTTCGTTGATTTTGAGAAAGCATTTGAAAGTGTTTTGAAAGGAGGGATGGAGAAGGTGTTGGGGCATTATGGTGTTCCAGAGTGGTTGGTGATTCTGGTGACAAATCTACATGAGAATACAATATGTAAGGTTATAGGTGATGGTTCATTGAGTGATGCTTTTGAAGTTCAGTCTGGGGTAATTCAGGGTGGGATTTTGTCCCCTTTGTTGTTTGTTGTGGTTATAGACTATGTTATGAAAAAGTTGCAAAGGAAAACTGATGCAGGAATTGTTTGGTGGAACAGAAATTGCAGGATTTGGACAATACTGATGACATTGTGCTTTTTAGTGAAGGAGAAGAGAAGATGCAGAGAGTATTATAATGCTTGATTAAAGAGGGAAAGAGAATTGGTTTGGTAATTAATTGCGCAATGACTGAAATTATGAATATGAACATTGATAACCCAAGATATTGTGTAATTGATGGAAGAATAGTAAAGAAAGTAGAGTTTTAAATATCTAGGAATGTTTTTTCAAAGGATGGATCTTTAAAAGTAGAGATTGAAGAGAGGTTGAGGAAGGCAAATCAAGTGATGGGAATATTGAAAAATGTTTAGAGTAATAGTTATTTTTCAATACATACTAAGATAAAATTTTGCAAGTCTATGGTAAGAACAATTTTAATTTATGGGCTTTAATCATGGTATAGTACAATAACATTGGACAGGCTTCAGGGAAGAAGAGGAAGAGGTAGCCCGAAGGAGACGTGGGTATGCACTATGAAGCAGGAGGCTGAAGAGGAATATGGGGACGATTTGGAGGAGTTAGTGCAGGATAGGTTGTGGTGGTGTGAATTCATCAAGACCCTATGCATCCCCCTGGGTGCTGCAGGATTTGATTGATTTGATTGATTGATATACATATTTATATATATATATATATATATATATATATATATATATATATATATATATATATATATATATATATATATATATATATATATATATATATATATATATATATATATATATATATATATATATATATATATATATATATATATATATATATATATATATATATGTTGTCTGTGTATGTGTGTGTGTGTGTGTGTGTGTGTGTGTGTTGTGTGTGTTTGTGTGTTTGTATGTTTGTGTGTTTGTGTGTGTGTGTGTGTGTGTGTGTGTGTGTGTGTTGTGTGTGTGTGTGTGTGTGTGTGTGTGTGTGTGTGTGTGTGTGTGTGTGTGTGTGTGTGTGTGTGTTTGTGTCTACATATATATGTATATACACACATATATTATTGTGTGTGTGTAGACATACTTTTACATACACATTTGCACATGTCTCAATTTTCCCCCTGAATGATAAGATTTTTAATTTTTTTTATTAGATACCATATTTTTTCTTTATGAGGGAGAGAAATGAAATCTTTCCAGGTGGCATCAGTCAACTTTAGAAAACGAATATGCACACAGCAAGACAGTCTGGCCAGTGGCCCAGACAGAAGCTCTGTTCTTGCCAGAATTTCCTGTTGGAATAGAGGAGAAGTTGAAATTAATTGTAAGTATCTAATGTCATTTTTTTCACTTTTAATGAGAAAGGTTGTAAGGTCTTTTGGTATTCAGTGTATTATACATCTTCCACAGAAATTTCTTAAGGATCACAAACAAAGGTGGGCAGTACTTGTGGTACTTTCTAAGTACTGGCAATGGTACTACCTTTTTTTAAACAGTGCCACTACAGGTACTACTGGTAGTTTTAGTTGTTTTTTCTTGTGGTAGCAGTAAGCTTGACTACTTGGTATATTAGTTAAGAATAGGAAGGTAAATATGAGATTTCAGAATTTTGTAGTACAGTGTTTTCAGTGTAGCTTATTTTGATATTGTGTAGTTTCTATGGTCACCTTGTTACATCTGCTCAGAAACCATCTTTTTTCTTATTAAAGAGGTGACTGTTTGGTATCCAATGCTGCATTGCTTATACATTTATTTACAATTACTTAATTCATAGTTTATAATCAGACATGTTCTTCAGTATGAGAAGTTGGGAGATATAAAAATGATTTTAAGGGATGAAGGTCTCGTTTAATTTTCTATTGTTTATACACCAGAAAAACACGCTGAATAGGCTCTACTGATCATTATTGATCCAAATGTGAAATGCTTTGCATATTACATTTTTGTTATCCCATTTGCTTATACTTCTCTTTCTAATATGTAATTATCTTGCTGTTTAACCATGTTCTCATTGGTTTTTATTCAGTTTACATGAATAGGCTTCACTGAAAAACCATAATCATTGACCAAAGTGTGAACATTTCAACTTATATTTTGATTATACCATTTAGCTTGTACTCTTCTTTCCAATATGCTTTTGCTGTAAGATTTTTAGTATTTTGTAATCCCAATAATTATTATTATATAAAACAATATTTTTGATTATAAACTTTGATCACACTTAGTGTGAATAAATAGAGAGCAAGCAATGCAAATACAGCAGTATATGAACTGTGGTAGAAACGTTTTAGTTATGTAAGATGGGCTGGCTTCTGGGAAGATATGAACAATAGCTGATCCTGTCAACTACATTAAGAGTGGCATGAATGTCATAGCTATTGAAATACTACACTGAGTTAAACTGAGAAATCTGTAATCACACAGTGATTAAGTTTAGAGTAAACAGTTTATAGCAGTAAAGTGCATTTTTTTGGGTGCTTGATGTGAGTGAGTGCATACTGGATATGTTATATTTAAAGGATAGTATGGATACTTATTTGAATTCATATACAAGGTCTATAAAAGTCCCTAAGCCTTGTTCATATAGATACATAGTGAAATAAATACATATACAGTTACAGAAAGAAAACATGATGTCAGAGCAAGTGTTTGCTGTCTGTAGCAGTGTCAGCTTTCTGGTAGCATTGTTTTTATTATGAGCTATTTGTACTATTCTGTATAAAAGTCTTCACAAAGAAATATTTTGAACATGTAGCCAGAATGTTAACCCCCATGATGACTTGAATTTATACAAAATATGTTGTATTTTACACTTTACTGTAGAAAATATGACATTGCAGTTAACTTTGAGCAAATGTTACTGCTACCAAATGTTGGAGATATTAAAAGCACTGATACCACCACTACTTAAAAAGTACCTCTAGCCCATCTCTGACCACATGTTAAGTTGTTAACACACACACAATAAATCATAGTAAACAGACAGCCTCAATTTGACAGAAGTCACAAAAGCCTGTGACTGAACCCAAAATTATTATTGTTGATGTACAGAAAGATAGTAATGGCCTTTAACACTTTTAGTGCTGATTTTTGGAGTGGTAGGTATTGAACTCATTCCTTGTCAAAGATTGCTATTTGGCCCTGGGATAAACATGAATAACATGGTACAGCACAAAGTATTTGAATATATGAATGTGGTCCTTGAAGGCTTAATATTGAAAAAATCTCCATTCTGTTTTGTGTTTGCTAATACGATCAATCATATCAAAAATGTTAAGCTCAATATGTCTTTCATTCAAAGTACATCTAATAGCAACTTCACCATTGCCACATGCAAAAATGTACAGAGTCTGAAATTGTTATTTTCACCTGGCTATTAAAAGTCTTTAAATATGGAGTGATATTGTATATGTTTAATCATGTATGATAATCATAATGTTTATTGGTTGATTTTATTCATGACATTTTATACATTTTACTCAAAATGTTTCATATGACTACTGGAATAGGTTTGGACATTAAATAGTTAATATATGCTTCTTTATTATCCCAGAATAAATGAATAATTTGAATAGGTTTGACAGTGTTCTGATGCTGTTTCTATTATTTATGTTATTGATTATGAAAGTGTCACACTAATATTGTTTGATATTCTAGGCTTGAAATTCTCTCAGACACTGAAAGCAAAATTTATCAAATTTACTTTATTTCTTATTGAACTACAGGTCCTTCATTGTAGTGTATATGCCATAGATATTCAATTGATTTTAAAGCTAATTTCTAATGAAATATGTCAAGTTTATTGATTATGGCTGACTGTTTGAAAATTCCTTACTCTATGGATGAATCCTCATGCCTTAAGGGGATCTTTTTTTTGACGTTTTTCGCCCACCTTGCCGAAATCAAGTTTTATGCATTTTGAGGAGTTTCAGGGCCTCCGATTCTCCCCTGAAAATTTTAAAGCCCAACCGCTGTTTTTTAGGTAGTAGCAGCCCTTTTCGATGTCGACCGAAATATTTATTTTTTCACCTTACATTAGAAAATCGGTAATTGTGACATAATGATGAGAGATAATGAAATAATGAGATTATTTTCTGAAGCCTTATTCAATTTCACGTAATAAAGACCAACCTTCATTTTTTCAGAATAATTTTTAAAATCTGGCAAGCATCCAAAAAACAATAATTTCTTTTTTCATACAATTAAATAAACATATGCCACTCATATGGAATGTTTAATTTTCTTTGTTTTCATCACATATAGTTAGTTTGATCTATGAGCAAAAAATCTTGTAAATGCAAACCTCCCCCCCCCCCCAAATAGGGAGCAGGATTGCCAAATGATCCGGATCACCACCAAAATTTTATGGAATATTAGTTAGGCTAAGACACACCTCAAGTAAAAAAAAAAAAAAAAAATCTGCCCATAACTTTTTGAGCTAGAAAAAAAATTCCTGGATCCAAACCATGGTCTGCAACACCACCAAAGTGCAATCA